TTGACTGCCGAGGCTGAATTCATTGCCGAGCGTAGCGAGGCTATGAATCCAGCTAAGGCAGTCAATCTACCTTGCTGCCGAGTTGAACATAAATATAATTTTTTCTCCGATTGTTCATAATGATATATATCTCTTTATTTTTCCTGTAGTGCTCAATTAAAATAAAATTTGACAGAAATCGCAGTTGTTGGAATGGTTGGTTGCTATGGAAATGTCCATAATAATTATAGTTTGACAATTCATGAAATTTCTGACAGTTATGCGAAAAAATATCGGTATAATTAAATTATTATATAATGGACAGTGATAGCGACCTGGAAGTACTTAAATCTCCAGAAATAAGGGAGGTGGCAAAAAATATAGATTTGAATTTGTTGCCGGAGGAGTCTCGGATGAAATATGAAGGAAATTATAAACGATTTATGGATTATTAATTTTGCTGATACATATCAATCAGCAAAGTACCCACTTTGCTGCCTAGGCAGGAAAAGTAATATTTTGCTGATTGATATGTGTCAGCAAAATTAATATTTGCTGCCGATCGGAGGAAAAAGTAATTTATGAAAAGTGACATTTTATAACCTGCCAACAGAGATGAAATGCCAACTTTTTTTCCCGTCACAGAAAAAACACATTTTTCACAAAAATTTTGAAATGTATAAAAAATGACAACGACACGCGGTGTTCCCAAGCGGTCACCCATCCAAGTACTGACCGCGCCCGACGTTGCTTGACTTCCAGGATCAGACGGAGCTGGGTACTTGAATCAACGTGGTATGGTCGTTGCCTGAAGATGGTTAATGAGCGAAAATATTTATGTGTGGATTTTTACAATGAAATCTCTTTTTTCCATGAGATGTCTGATGGCCAACTTTTGCATCATTGTCGCAGTTTTAGTCTTAGTCACAGTCTTTCTTTTAATCATAAAATCAAGTTATGAGCATTGCATACATTTCAATAGGTAAATTCACGCAACATTTTCAGTCTTATCTCAAATCACTCTCAATTTTGTGGTCACCCATAAATCAGTGCCATTCTGTGCTGTGTCAATAATTGATTACATCATTCCACAGAACTCATATATTATAATAATTATAATATATGAGTTCTGTGCATCATTCGCCATAGAAAATAAGCGTACCGCCACCTATTGGAGTTCTGGGAAGCTGTCAAAGCGGCATGTATACTTTGTTTTCATTGGTTCACATTTGTTTTTTGTTTATTCTTATTGGTCATATCACCAAAACATAGATTAGGGGAGTCGTTAATCTATAACCATCAAAACAAACCGCTCAGAAGTGTTTAAGTTCTTGTCGTCAGGTGTGGGGCGACTTGCTACTTTCTTATATTGCGAATTCTGATAATTTGATTACATTTGATAACAAATAATATAAAAAAATCATGAGCCTGGAAGAAGGAACCCTAAGAGATTTGGTGGAGAAATTTCCCCATCTTTGACACAATAAATAAAGACTCAAAAATACAGAGATAAAATTGCAATAGAGAATTCTTGGAAATCATCAATGTCACAAATCATGTAATAGATCACATTTTATCTCTGGTATATAGAATTTGTTTTAATACCAATCTCCTGACGAATCTCTTGTCGAATTGTCAATAATTGTCATCATCATAATTTTTAAGCAAGACTGTGATGCATAAATGTCCAAATAATATGATGAGTTAATACCCAGATAGCACAATATGTCATTCATAGAACGTTCATAGAGATTATTTTTCGAGAATATTTGAATATTCTCATCAGAATATTCTCACATGATACAAATATTCTAGGAATCTTTCATTAGCATTCGGAATGGGCTGTTTTACATATTCTGAAAATATTCCTAGTATATTGAAGGAGAATAGCTCTTGCTCCGGTGGAGATGCGAAACCTACTATATCTTGTAATAGAATTTTTACGAACCTGAAACATTAATCACTTCGCCACGGACCTTATTGATAAATAAAATATGAATAGCAAGATGACAAATATAAATTATATAGTGGGATAATCAGCATTGACCCTATATAGAGAATAATAGGTTATGTCAGCAGGATAGACATTATAAATATTATATATCGAAGACTGGAACCTTTGGCACGATAATACACTACACTGTTTTACCCATGGACGTATAAACAAAGAACTAACCAAACCGATTTTTTAACGCCTCGACACGTGTTTCGCTAACTATGTTAGCATCTTCAAGAGAACATTAAAACTGTTTTAATCCTCGCTCGCTGATTCTCGCTGAGCGTGAGAAACTGAAAATTTCCGGCCGATCCTCTGAGAAGAAACATAATTGAAATAGGGAATCACTATCGGCCTAACCAATAAATGCCTCCATAGTATTTTTTCGATTAGGTAATTACTTCGAAAAAAATAAATAAAAAAAAGATTAGCTGGAGTAGGAATCGAACCCCGGCCTTTATTTCGTTCGGAGGATGGTATTAAGGTTGTTTAGCTACTCACTGCATGAATCCGAAGTGGGTGTTTGCTCCCTCAAACAAAGTTGTTAATTTACTCCCACGGAAGAAAAAATATATAAACTCCCGTCGTGGGAGCTAAAATAAATCGGCTTCAGCATGCATCCTTTGGCGTCGATAAACCTATACAATCTGTGCAATCCAAGTAATCGCTATTTTTCATAAGTATTATAAAACAAATAACAATAATATCCTTCTTGAATTCCAATATGATATCATATATGCTTCTTTATATTCCGAAAGTACTTCTGATAAAATTTTTCAAATATCAATTAATTTGTGATGACAGAAATGTCAAATTGACTTTCGTTCGAATGGAGTCAATTGTCCATGGCATACTATATTCCTTTGCAATGTGATTTGTCGAGAGCTAGACTGCTTGAAGCTCAATTTTGAGAACGATCAAAATCATACATATCATGGGAGCAAAGGTTCATTTCCTCCCATGTGTGTCGCGTCGGGCATCAATAAACTTCACACGCGGGAGGAAATAGATACCTTTCCTCCCTTGATATATAAATAGCTATTATTCTCTTCAAAATTTTTGTTTACAACACATAGGTACTATTCAAAAACTGATGTATAGATAAAATCCTCCGAACAAGGCAAAGGGAGCTGGTGTTGGCCAAGGAATGTGGGTTCATATGCGAAGTTTTCGTCGCAGAAACCTATCCTGCCTATCTCCTAGAGGGCTAATAGCCCTTTATATAGGTAATTTCACTGAGGTTACCCAATGGGTGGGGGAGTCGTTGAAATTAGAATTCAAAAACAAAAACCTCCTTCTTGTTTAGCTCGGCCGAGTGCGGGAGCGTCCCCCCCCCACTACTCTATAATAACGCTCTTGACTTGCCACCGTCACAATATACTATTTCCCGTATTTTGGTGCCATGGCTAGGCTCTAATGCAATTTTATATGGGTATTTCGATGGTTTCCTGCATGATTTAAAAATACAATTTGACGCGGTAGGTGGCGCTGCTTCATCCTTGTACGTCACCTACTAAACGTTTCGACCGATTGGGTTGGAATTTTTAATACGTAAAACAGCAAAAAAATACAGAAGATATTGAGATAATGCTAATAGGTGTAAGTATATGATAGTATAGCTACAGGTAGGCACAAAAAATTAATTTTTTTCAAATGGGTACATCATAGATTCGTTAATCTATGGGTACACTAACCGTGTGGAGCCGGGTCGGACAGCTAGTCACTTTATATAATGGGTTACGTAGTCAAGGAAATCACCAGTTGATATTTTTTTATTATGTTCTGGTCTCCACGAAAGGAGATATCCTGTAATGTTCAGAGAACATCGTGAGAACCAAGGGAAATGAGGTAGGAATTAGAGTTCTTCTTGAATTTCTGGGGGTTATATGCCTCGGGGAAGACCTCCCTTGTCAAGGTGTTCCAGAGCCTCGCTATTCGTTGGATGAACGAGTCTTTGGAAAGATATGTTCTGTAGGTCTCCAGAGTAACCACAATTGGGTGCGAAGCCTCAACTCGACGGGTTAATCTCGCGGGGACTGCCAAGGGAGGAACAATTGTTGATATTTCAGAAAATATCTATAGAATAGAGCCAGATTGCCAACTTTTCTACGGTGTTCCAGAGAAGTGAGTGAGTTTGTGAGCGAGGCATCACCCACGAGACGAATTGCCCTTTTTTGGACGGAATCCAACAGTTTCAGGTTATGTTTGGGTGTTGCACTCCAAATATGAGAACAGTATTCCAGGACAGGTCAGATCTGTGCCTTATAGATCATAAGCAGCTGACTGGAAGAAGAAAACCAAGTTTTTGAGATGCACTTCTAGCAATCGATCTCAAGTGATTATCCCAAGAAAGGTTATTGCTGATAGTAATACCAAGCATCGAAATGGATTTCTTCAAAGGTATGGTTACTCCTGACAAGCTAATGTTGGGCACAGTGAGATCGGCTTTTCTAGAGAAAAGGCATGCTCGTGTTTTGTTTGCATTGAAATCTACCAAGTTATTGGATCCCCATTCGAGAATTGTTGCAAAGTCCATATTTATGTTGTCAACATTTATCCCTCGTTCGTTTCTGATTTGACGTTTCTGATAGGTATGCCCGGTTTGTGATAAAGTAGGACTATATTTCTAATTCAACAATCAAAATAATTTCGATCTCATTATTTTTATTGTCATCAGGATTGAACCAACTAGTTTTGTCTCTCAAATGATACCTTCCATAGTGTTTTTTTTTTCAATATTCGTGCTCTAAACCATCCCTATTCATCCATGTGCGGAGAAAATTAAAATCCTTGGTTATTGGTCATGAAAGTTATGAGGATTATATTTTTTATAGAATCTTCAAGATTTGTTATTTTATTGAAATCACAATAGCAGCGCAGGATACAGAGGGGAGTGTATTATCGATGCATTCATTCATGGTTGCTATGGAATGAACTAAACAACAGGCACCTATATCCATATCCTAAGTATCTTCATTCTTGTTAATTTCATGGAAAAAATCAAGTTTCAATTGGAATGAAAGAAATGGATTACGAGGCATCACTAATTAACAGTCAACCAGAAGTAGAAGAAGATGATTATGGTTGTTATTGTGAGTAAAATGTTTACCGAAATCCATCAATATTGCGGCGATTAAATAATTATTGATCCAACAATTCTATTGGTATGCAGATACAAATTCATTTAACGAAATATTCTCTAGTTTTAGAACCGTCTTCAAATCCTTACAATTTGAATGAAAAAATCCAACAAGCAAATGGGGATCTCTTCTCATCAAACCTATCCCCAACCAAGAAAAAAAGTTCTAAAGTGAAATTCAGAGATGAACTTATATCCTTTGAACCTGACCTAACAGATGAAGATGTGAACAGCATTGAAAGTGATCAAGTTGAAATCCAACATGAAATTAATGTTCAATCTTCAGATGTCAACATATTCGATATCGAAGAAGTGGAAGAAGTAGAAGAAGAAGAAGTTGTTGAGGAAATTAACAGTGCTGAAGAGGATTTTCCTGTGAGCGTTATTCAACAAGAAAGTAAGCGTGGACCTGATCAAATTGACGATAAGAACATTAATGACCATGTTAAAACGAACTCGGGGAAAATCAACAAAAAAAAGAAGAAAGATATGGAAAACAGATCATTTTGGAACGCACACGAAGTGCATTGTAAGGATCACTGCATAGACAGGTTTGACTTTGAACTATCTATGTCCATAAATAAACTTGAAATCCACGAAAAAGAAGGCTTACCACCACTCCAACTGTTGCGAAGAAGATGCTGCGACGAAGTGAAACAAAAAATGCATAAAACCTTGCCGAATTATAACGGATATAGATCAGAATACGGCTTGACATCAAGACAGCTGGAAAAGCGAGAAAAACAAATGGAAACTTTGAGACTCAAAGAGCAAACGAGGCAAAGGCTCATTGAGGAGTATCGTAAGCGGAAGATGAAACAGAACGAAGAAGTTTTCTCCCAGTGGCTGAAAGAGGTTTCTAAGAGGAGAACGGAGAAAGAGAAGGTGAAGAAACCAATGACGAAACAGTGTTATAGTCCTAGTGTAATAAGTTTACCGATTGGAAATAAGGCTAAGGAGAGACCGAAGACTGCTGGGTTCATCCCCAAAACGCAAATAAAGAAACCTCGTAGGCCTCACACGAGTTCTTCTTGTGTTTTTATAAAAGTCCCTCAGAGTATACTAGAGAGAGGTATCAATATTGGAGATTTGATAATTACTAATTCGAAGTTGTTGACCAGAAGATTGCATATTTTGGCTTTGTCATAAATTTGTCTCTTTCTCTTTTGCGTAAAATTTGGTATATTTCTTAAATATTCTCATTTTATGACCAGAGCTCCTTCATAAAATCTGCAGTGTTCAACAGATTATATTTTTTTGTTCCAGCAGAAAGAGTATCAAGAGATCTAGGTATGCCCAAATTTGCAAAATATAATAATTCCAATTTTCAGGACTTAACGACCATTTTTGTGTTTCAAGTTGAAAATTGCGGAATATCATTAGCGATTTTTTTTCAAGAAAATACTCTCCACTACTGGATCCAACATTTTTCATTTAGACTAATTGCAAAATTCCATTGCAACAAAGTTGAAACAACGTTAGCGGCAACATTTTCAACTAAAATGTTGGATATCATTGAGGTATCTCGTAGACATTTGAATTCATAACACAAACTATTCATGTTATCATTTTGACATCTTTAAAAAAACTCAACTTCTGATTTTTCCTGTTCTGGCTGTCCCGTTATCGATGTTGGCAACTTTTTTGTGAAACTCACGATACCGCGATACTGCAAACAAAATGTTCATAACATGCTTCAATCTTCAGATACAGGGCGAAACTGAAAAAGTGCCATTTTAGGACCATCCTCGTATCTCAGCTATCTGCCAACTTATCGAAAAAGTAAATATGCCTCTCATACATATTTTTTTGTCGAATCCAGTGACATAGTCATATTTTCAGAAGGAACTGTAATTATTCAGATATAACCTATAGTTATATCATGTCAAATGGAACACCACGTTTATATTTTCATATTTGAAATATCGATGCTCTGCGCTTTCTAAAAATATATAACAGTCATGAGGAATTTCGAGTATTAGCCATGAAATTAGATAATATCTAGTTTTTCAGTAGATATTTCATCGATGGGCCTCGTAAATATGTGGCAACATTGTCCATATCACAAATTTTCATATTGACCTTGTTTGCTAATACAGTGTTCCATCACACACTATAGTTTTAATTTCACCAACATTCAACATTTACCAATATTCAGCACTATTTTTTGACTATAGAAGCTGTGGACTAAATTAGTAGGTGGCTATGAAAAAAAAGCAAGTGCAGAATGTTTCATTATCTTTGACACCTGCCTGTCAAATTTTCAAAATTTTCATACTACGGCAAAAGATAATCCAGGATTTCAAAGTACGAAAATTAAGAAACCAACTTTATATCCCAACCTCCATTTCCATATCCCGGATGAGTATTCATCTTCGTATATGGAAAATTTATATATTCGACAGGTAGGTGACAAGGATAAGAAACATTCTATACACTCGTTTTTTTTCATAGCCACCTACTAATAAGGTTCACAGCTTTTATGTTAATTAATAGTGCTGAATATTTGTAAATGTTGAATGTCGTTAAAATTTAAACTAGTGCCTGTGTGACGAAAAATTGTGTCAGCAACAAGGTGAATATGAAATTGTGATATGAGTGTTATATATCTTTAGAAAGCACAACGCAGCATTGTTTCAAATATGAAAAAATATACAGGGTGTTTCTTCAAAAAAAAATAACTTCACGTTATATCTGCATAACTAAAGCATTTTTAGGAAGTCTGACTACGCCACTGGATTTAACGTGAGAAACTGTATGAAAGGCAGTTTTTACTTTCTAGATAAGTTGAAAGATAACGGAGATACAGGGAGGGCCCCAAAATGCAACATTTTGAATTCCACCCTGTATCTCATAAACGGAGCGTTAAATGACAATTTTGTTTGCGGTAAGTATCGTGAGTTTCGTAAAAAAAGCCAACGTTCTATCTACCTTTGAAAATAAGTTAGATATCCCATAAAGGGGCGTAAGGACATCGGAAATGGGTCAGCTTGTACTTCTATTATTATTAATATTTCAAAATGCATACTCATTTCGTCGGATGAGAAAAATAGTTGTGTAAGGATACATTTACATGAATCAGTTTTTTCTTCCAAATAAATATCGCGTCGATAAAAGCTTCCAAATAATATGTAAAAAAACTATGTGGTAGGTATAGGTATTCATTCTTCAATTTGGTGTCAAATTTTCGAACTAAATAACCTCCTCTTCATCAGGAACATTTTATATTATATTAATCACTATTAATTAGATAATGATGATTCATAATTGAATGTGATGATTTTGTATTTTTAAATCACTCATTATAAATGGCTATATACTGAATCATTATATTGAGTAACTATATATGAGAAACGTTTTTTTAATCCTTATTCTACTCTTTTTACCTTTAGTTGAGCATGGGTATGTTACAGTGGCGTAACTATACAGTTCGAAGCGTGTTCGAAGCCCGTGGCAAATTCATCGGATGGGGGTCCAATATAAAGAAGCTGAACCAACAATATTAGTATTTTTGTCATTTCATGATACTTATCCATGCACTTTCACTAGTATAAGTTCAATAATTAATCATCACGTGAAGTATAGGTACGTACAATTCGCGGGAATCAATGTTACCAGGTGGCGCTCGGTTTTCATCGTTCCATGTCAAAGCCACGTCAAAACTGGGGGAAAACAAACTCAATCCTCACTCAATCCCATTAGTGCCATTAGCTAGTGTACTGTGTACTGATAAGAGTGATAAGTTTTTAAATTTCTTTACATTAATTGTCAATATTCGATCGAAAACGCTAAAATGCCTGTTATAGATGTTCTTTTGGCAGATATTTTGCTCTATTTGGATGTAAAAAGCCGACCAGTAGTGGAAGGAGAAGCAGTAATTTTGTGTGAGGCAGAAGACTTCAACAAAAGGCACATTTTTGCACTTTGTCTACAAACTTCGGCGATGAAATCTTTCCCACATGAAGTCAAATTGAAGTTAGGGTCCATAGGAACTCCTGTAGAACAATGGATTTGTATTTGTTCCTGCAAAGCAGGACAATCTGGATATTGTAAACATGTTGTTGCTGTTCTTTTATATGTCAATTGATTTGCTCGTCATAATTAGTTTGAATTGTTTGGACTATCTCCAATTCTTCACCCGTTCACTGTTCACTAAACTAATAAAAATGTATAATAATGTAAAAAAATTAACCAACTCCACCATCATCACTACCAACAGTGCCAACACTTTATGTCATTGAAAAGTTTGACTACAGCTACAGAGCAAGCTGAATGCAATGTAGTCTATGCACTTTATCCATAGACAACAGTTTGTTTTCCCCCAGTTTGAAGTTCGTATTATGTATGTCGCCCACTTCGTGAATCTCGCGAATAGTTATTTATACACCAAGTTGTAAAGGATATCATTATTGCCCAGGGACCAAGATTAAATCCCGTGGCTTCAGCCGAGGACAGTCCCTAATAACACAATAACATCTGTAAGACGTCGTAGAAACATCTATATGGGATGATAGGAACATCTCTGGAAAATCCCTATTTTCCTTGGGACATTCTTGGGATGTTGCTGGCAACACCATTTGCGATGTCTTATAAACATCCCATCAGAATGTTTGTGGGATGATACGGGATGTACCAGAGACATTCAGGGTACTTGATATGGAACATCACAGTAATGGATGACACGGTATGAATTATTCTCAATCTGATTTCCTGAAAATGTTCGACCTATTTCCAGATAAAAAGTAACAAATCGAATTCGAAAATATAAGGTCGGCGCGGTCCAACAACTAATGGAAGATGATAACAGTTGTTTGAGGCTCATATTTGTTGGCGCTTGGCCGACGGCTCTCAGTAACTCTTAGCAACGTAGTTGTACCGCCATCTATCGGCTGGAATAACAAATAAATTCAGCAATAAATATGCTGAAGAGATATATCTCAATTTTGTCGTTTATTACATGGTTCATACTTTATTAATCTTACTGAGGAATATTTAGTATAATTATTTCAATTTTTGATCGATGAAATTAGCCGGGTTTGGTTTAGTTTTAAGTATACGAGTACGAATACAGTTTTGATTTCCATTTTTTACTAACTTTTCAATGTTTCAAATGTCACAATTGTTTGAACTGTTCAATCATGTCAATCATCATTAGCAAATATGGAACTATGATATTGTTTATAAAAATAGATCAAATCGGATGTTTCTAGAACATCCAATGAAAACATCTGATGGATGTCCCAAGAGAAACATCTCTGGGATATCGTACCTAAGTCTGATTGGGACATTTGTAGGACCTTAGCGGGATGTACCAGCAAGATCCCGTGTTGTTAGGGGTGCATTCGGGTTAATTACAACAGAGATGGGTTATGTCTTTATCGACTAGTAGTTCATTAAATGACGAAAACTACCTTGGTAGTGAAAACACACTTTACGTCTCGGAAAGTGGTAAAATGGTAGGTTTTATAGCCAGTGCTGAAGAAATTTTATTATTATACAGTCACCGGCAAAAAACCGGCCACCAAATAATTTAGTCAAATTATTCGCCATGTAACTTTTTTAATTCTTGTCCGATTTTTGTGAGGTTTCGACCAAATCGTATATTCATGCTTCGGAATGCTAGCCTGAATATTAGGTTCTGAAGAAGCTGATGACTCGATCATTATACAGGGAGACACACAAGTTTTTTAACTTTTAACTTCCTTAACATCCAAACGCCCTGTGGAATAGGTGAGGGGTTAAACTTGAGTTCATTATATTTCAAGATCAAAAAAAATGCCACGGTGATTTTCAACGGGCTAAAAATTTACCGCGAGTAAAAACTGAGGTCACGATTTCGTAAGTAGGGACAGACCATAGCACAATTGCCATATGTTGAAATACGATTGGAGCTTCAGAATTTCAGAAATATCAGTTATTCAATAATTCCTAAACTGATAAAAGCCTGACTCTGAAGGAAAACAAACAATTAGGAATAGTTCATACAAAAAGATAGGGACTGTCTGAAATCAACTCTTCAGTACATCCCTTATCATACTCAGTTTATAGGAAAATAGTGATACCTATTATTAAATTTATAGACAAGGTAATAAAGCAATACCGCAGTGCACGTTGGTTTCCAATGTAAGTGACATATACTCAAAATAAAT